TTCTAGATATTTCATGTCTTATGCCCCATATGTGCGCTTCTCAAAAACCTATCGGTAAGGCAAACGAGTCGTTCATAAGCTCAATCTATACAATGAAGGGAAGATGCATTTTAATAATGTGAGATTTCTTTTTAAACAACCTCTTTTCTTCGACAGCCGTCTCTGCAACCCTGAGGAGAAAGCTAATATGAGCTAATCCCTGTTAGGTTATGATCTGCGTCATCTCGGCGCTCTGACGCAACGCCTGCCTATCCAGTATCTATATTCGATAGCTCTCCTCCAGTTTTTATTACCGGGGAGTGTCCATTATGATAGACACAAGCGCGTTGACTCGGTCAATGTTCTCGAGCCTAGATTTCCCTGTGATGTGCTTATGAGGTAGGCACCTAAGAAAGGATCACATCCTGCCAAGGGGTATCGTGTTATCGGGATATCGAGTAGAGATTCCCTCGGGTCCACGGAGATCTTACTGGCTTTGCCGCATTCCTACTGTTTTATCGCAACCGGATTGACGGGTACTATGTATGGAATGCTTGGGGGGATAAGCGTCCAGCTGACTGCTACTCCTTGCTACTGTGTAAATCTCAGTACTTTGTACAGTAAATACCTACCTACCTATACACCACCATCAGCCTTTTCCCACTCGCTTCTCGCTCCTCACTCCTCGCTCCTCGCCTCTCCCGGAGCCTTTTTTCCCCTTCTTCCCTTGCCTACCTACATATTTATTTATGTACATTATACAGCCGTACAAGCTCGTCTCATGCACGAGTTACAACTTGCGCCAACCCTCAAACCCGTAGCTTCTTCCGTCGCAAGATACGCGAACATGTCATCAAACACTTTACTCCCCCTGCCCTACGAAATAATACAAAGGACATATACATATAGTATGTGTACCTTGGCTAGGTATGTTTGTGTAACATGTATACGATACGATGTCTCCTATATCCATTATCGTGGTTCTTGTACCTGATGATCCACCGCCCGGCTACCACGTATGCAGCATTATTATCTGCATTAGTCATAGCACACAAGTTCCGCCCTGCCTTACTATTGTGACACCCAAATGTAAGACTCCTAAACCACGATCCAGCTCTACGGGCAGCGGCTGTTCATATTCACCGAAGCTGAACTGTCTGTGCGGACGAAAACTTTATTAAGTTTGGTATCTGACCCCTACATAATAGACTCTTTCGGACGTGCGAAATATCGTTGCACCAAAGCGTCCTTACAGACACTAGCAGTTTCACGTATGTATTGTACACGATATTGCCCAAATTTTATACGGTAGATGAGTTTATTAACTAGTGTAACAATACCACTTCTTTAACGCTTATGCAAAGTTCATCTTATCTGTTAAACCGCTGTACAAAATACGAAAAGCAATCAATCAGTGCCCAAGGGTGGTAAAACGTCCGATGATTTACACATCCTATCCTAAATCACTGGGTCCGTGAATGGAAGAGACCAGAACCCCTCGCTTTCAATCTTCACCCCTCCCCCGCTATGATCTGACGCTATCGAAAATCGTTTATCGATATGCCCTACAAGGAGCCAGGCTAGTCGGTGATGGGATACATGTGGCGTCATATTGCTAATCTCGACTCACTACCTACACTACATACATAGTACCTAGGTAGGTACCTATGTACGGGCTATATTACCTGGTTTTAATTATCTCTGATGTTGCTGATTACTTCCCTCATTCTGCCTGGCTCGATTACCCGGTTGGGGCATTTGCAGGAGCATAATTAACTCAGAAGCAGGGCTGTATATCAGATGACTACCACCTCTGTGTAAGTCCAGGCCCGTTATCGCCGGACACCGTGTGCGTATGCGTAAGCTGTCAGCCAACGTAAGTATACATCCATCTGTACCTGGCGAACGAAAGCATCGATCCCAGGACCCTGCCAAGGTACAGGGCTGAGATGAAACACAGTCTGCAAAGGGCCTTACGCACTGGCGCACTAGTATCTCAACGGCGTTAGAGGCCACGATACTAAGCCCGCAACTAGCAAAGGTGCAAAGAATAATATATCCGTTACCGGACGAGTTCACATTCTAATGGGATGCTCTCCTCTCTGATTGGCATATGATTAAATTATCCCTTGGGGAAAAAGACGAGCCAGGTACACCTGGATTTAGGTAGTTCGTTAATCATTTACTATGTACCTACCTAGGTAAGAATACACTTCTACATTTGTGTGTAACGCCCCAGCAGTTCGGGTCACTCCTTGAAGCCGCAAGGGGGGCAACATACCTAAGCTACCTAGGTACTAAGATACCAACCATCTATTATAGTAAGGCGATCTTTATATTAGGTAGTATAGGTACTATATTTAAAGGTGATATGTAACTATTTCGAAATACACTATGCACTTGATATAAGTCGTACATCTAGTAGTATCATAAAATGTAGATGCATGGTAGTTACATCAAACAGAGTTCGTTAGTTACATGTCTTGTAGCTGTACCTTAAAGTTTACATACCTCTTTTAAAGAGTTAAAAATTATAATACAATACATGCGACGGTCCTGTACGCGCTACCTACCTCTAAAATAAAACTGTCCTGCAGGATGCAAGGCACGATACATCCGTACCTAAGGCGCAGTAGCCAAATTTCAAAGATGGTTCCCTCGTAGGCCGGCCTTCATCCACTTTACCCGCACCGCTTACCACCGGCAACTTATCTCGTCCACGTTTAAGAATTCCCCTTATCTCCATTCAACTATCGTTCCTATCGTAGATGGACACCTTTTTGTCGTGCGTAATGAGTGATGCTAGCCAGGTACATATATCAGGTACATAGGTTAGGTACCTATATGAGATAGACTTATTGAAATTATTCTTTTCTCCACCCTACTTCTCTCGATTCATGTCAATTCATGTCCTCTTTTAAGACCGCTAAAAAGTTAAAGTCTTACTTGGTACAACTAATTAACGAACCCGAGGTAAACTACCCACCGGAGGGGAGACCATACAAGGTAATATATATTTTTCTCTTGATATCTTCTCGTTGACCGCCACTTGCGGATGACCCAAAGTAGCCATCATAATTGTACCTCGTCCCCCATCTTATGCTGCACGTCCAACAAGTGCAGCATTGCAGCATTGCAGTATTGTAGTATTGCGGCATTGCGGCATTGCAACCTCATCCAGAGATCCGGACGGCGCCCGACGCGTGCCTGATTCTGACGTACGTAGTAATTCTGCGCGAGTTCAAGTTTGTTCCTCGCCCAACCGCAGCCGCGTTCGACATTGCTCGCATATGACGATGTCCTATTATTGACACTACTCATGCTACTCATACCACTCCAACGAACCGTGCGGGCCCCCCGCTGCTTTGCGCGACGCTGTCTAGCTAAGCATCTACGAGTAGTATCAGTATTCAATATTGCTATCCCACCCTCAAGCCGGAGAGTTGAGAGGGCTGACAACGCCCCCTTGTTTCACAGATCGCTTATATGCGATCTAATCCAATAACGTTATAATACTAACGTATCTATCACCCCATTTCGCGATATATGTATGTGTGGCGTGGTACACAGGAGCGTGGTCGGCATGCAAGTGCTGGGTCCCGCATCCCAAGTAATAACCAATGCGATCGACTCTATCGTAAATACTAACCCTTCTTCTTCTTTATACTATTATCAGGTTTCGGTTTTTTTTTTTTTTTTTTTTTCTTTTTTTCTAACCCACCCTATAACTGTCGGATTCGTCGGCCGAGTCCTATATCATATAAATGGGCCGCGAAAGGGAGAGCCCGGACGACGCGGAGCAGCACTGTTTGATTTGCTTTTTTAACATACATGTGACAGTCTAACATTACATGAACATTAAAACATATTGGGCGCGGCGATATGCTACGTCGCCAATACACCAACCCATAACCTGTTTCTAAATACTACATTTGTGGTTGCGGCAGGCATCTTTGCGGGGTTTTTAGCCTCACGCCGTTGAAGTTTATTAGCCAACGGAAGGAGATGGAAAACGAGTAGAAGTTAGCCGAAATCACAATTAATCAAAGTCAATTCATAACTCGATAGTTGTAATTTATAATTTATACTCTTTCTAGAATCCTCTCGTTTTAGTAAATATTATGAACTTTATCCCAACCCGACATTCCCGACATGATTTATCAAATAAGCTTAATGCAATTAGGGCTACTTCCGAATATTTCAATTCGAAGCTGTCAACATGGGATGTTTTTCCTTGTTCCTAGCGATTACATAACCAAAGTTAGAATACATATAGTTATGACAAAGAGGTACAATACCTACCAAGCTCCGCTATGGAGGTAGGTAACATAACCCCTGAGAACCCTATAAACGTAATTATTTCAGCAAATATTCAGTTTACGCGGAAACTATGGTTTGTATAATGATAAAGTAAATAAAGAAGAACGCAGCAAACCCAGATAAGGCGAGTAGAACAAAATGCGTAAAGTCTCTTATCAGGCTGTGAAAAGTGGTTTCCACGACGAAAAGGAGCATACCATAGATAAACCTGATAAGTAAACAATCTGTTTCATAATACAAGCAAACAGCCATAGCTACATAGATGAAACTGCGAGGAATTCAGGCTACTTATTTATTAGCTTGTCGTTCGTTGACTTTGTGAGGGCAAAAGCTTAGCAATACGACTATTGCGGCTTGGCTTCTTGTGATAATGCTTAGACAATTCTACGCTAAAGGTTAAGATAGCTTCCATAATACGATCCCCCAAAGATTCGTAATGAATTATAGGATAGAATTATACATTGCTGTAACTAGGTTGACGTTAATCCATAGGTACCTTAAAGACAGCAGGAATAGCCTCATTAGGGCATTACGAGGCGGAATATAAAACCTGGAGCTTATTAATGGCTTGGTTAAATCCAAAACCCCATATAGTTTTATACGCCTCTCTATGTCGAATAAATAGGGTAGGGAAAGACTACCTTTGGTACATGTAGCTAATGGAATTATATAACGTTTACCTAATATAAGGAGATTTTTGTTCTGTGCATATCTGCTTCCTGCAATAAGGCAATGAGGCAATGAGCTTTAGCTTTAGGTACTGATTCCCGAGGTATGATCCCTCAATCAAAAAGATGCGCATCTGGATTCATCTCGTCCATTTTTTGCTTGTCTTCCGCGTCTTTCGACTTCTCCAATTGTAACAATTCGCTACGACACCGATCTTTGTCGAAGCGATCAGGCCATCCGTGGCGGAGATACGTATTATATACATCCTACGAATATTAGGTTAGCGTTAAACACCAGAGAATTGAGTTAAGCCTCTAAGTAAACGTACTGCTACATGTTTTCTCATATCCCTCTGCGCTTCGTATTGGGACTTATCAAGCTCGTTCCTAACGTCCGGGTGGCTAGCGTCATCTTGAAGATGCCACGGTTTCAATTGCTCTTCGAAAGCTAGTTTATCTTGCTCGGCACTCGTATCACCGCGGCTATAGAACCTCCCCGTGGTTGGCTGACCGATTGGATTTGGTACTAACATCCATACTAATTTCTCATATCGTCGCGTCCAAGCGTCTAAAAAGGTCTTAATAGGCGACGTGCGATGGGCTTTCCATTTATCTCTCTCAGGTAGCGCATCGTATTCTTCTTCGGAGACTGTAATGTAGGACCCAGTGTGACAGAACTCAGTTATGGTACCTTCGTTAGTGTCGAGAATCAAAGACGTGCCCTCTCTGTCGACGCTATGGGCAAGATAGACACAGTGAGCCGGGAGGGGGTAGATTTCGGGGTAGCTTTGTTCATCTATATAACATATAGGAATTGTTTCCCAGTAAATAAGGAGTTGCTCGTACGGCTTCTCTGAGCAGAGATATGGGAGATGACGGAGTAGATCAAGGACGGGTTTGGTTTTTCCATGGATGTTAACAGAACGCCAACCGTTTGGAGGGGGTAGACTAAGTGTGCTATCATTTAAATACGGGTGGCGGATAATTTCCTGGTAGAGCCGCAGAACGGCATTAACAGTCTCGTTGTGAGAATACATCTTGGACTATTCGGATGAATAATCGTTGTTAGTGGCGTTGAATAAATACAGATTAGAGTATAATAAGGAGTTCGTAATAAGAATCAGCTAGTCAACATGCGAAGGCGGGAATTGGCGGCATTGGCCAAATTGCCGGGCGCCTAAGTCCCATAGCGAAGTAGTCATAGCGTTACTTCAAGCTATGGACCTTCTATTGATCCCACGATTGCCGCATAGGAATGGAAAACACGGGTTGGATCTGTATTCTGCTGGTTCTTTTTCCTACGCTTTTGGGTAAGTAGAATGACAACGCCCAAAATTAAGCCAAAGTTACTTGCTCCCATTGATATAAATATGGAAGGCTACTTGATTTGACAACAATAGTAAATAGGAATTGGAAAATAATATTGTATGTAAGAGAATAATCATTAATGATAACCTCAATTGTCAAGTTCCATAACGAGGGAAAGAGGAGCAAGAGCTCGTGATGATCTAAAAGGTCCGTGTTATAATATATGACGCCGTAGTTAAGATTATTGCTTTGTCGAAGTTAAGAAACAAGCCCTAGATGCGCATACTACAACGCTCCTCTCTGGAAATAGCCTCTCGAACCACCCTCGATGCTCTATTTCTTTTGATACTTAACATAGCGGAAGGACTGACGAGGCCGCTCTAGGGGGCAGTGTAAACAGTTACTAATATTTAACAATAGGCGCTTAGTTGAGTTCCGCTCGGGCTTGGAGTCAAATGTTCACAATACAAGTCAACAAATTTAACGTTGGAATAAAACGTTGGTGCTTGGACTTCAAGCCTGGTTGCCGGGCAGGTATGATGCTATGTGAATAGATCTCTAGTTGTTGGCAGGTGGTCCACGTCATCATCATGAGACACGGTTATAGCATCAAGGGAAGGAACGGGGCCCTAGGGCTGAGTATATAAACAGACGAGGTCCTGTAGTCCTTTTAGATTCCCTGTTACCTCTTCTATCAATTTTTCCCATTGCAACCCATTCACATCTTCTTCTTCATCTTTATTTTCACACAGTAACATTATTTCTGCTCTCTACAACTATACATTTATCACTGCTACAATGCCGTCTTTAGTAGGACAAAATTCGCGTTTTCAACAGTACCAAGTTCAAACAGTAAACGGGCTACAGATACTCCCACAGCAATATCCACAGCCACAGACTGGATTCGATATTGAGCCTGGAAAGTACTGTTCCCTACCACTCGCCATGATAAAGGCTGTGCTAGGAAACGACCTGCCTTGGATCAATGAGCTACCGAACAACGTTATAATATTACAAGAGAACTTGAATACCATACCACCATTAGTCGAGCGCTATCATTCCTTCTTTTTCATACTGACAGTCTTCGCGCTTGACTACAGCGTACCGGAGGTGGAAACTAGGGATATGCCACCTTATTTGAAGACAGAGTTATCACACTTTATGGGTCCCAATCCTAAATCAAGTCGATTCAGTAAGTAATTTTACGACTCCAACTCCCGCCTCCTCTCAGGACTGAAGAAAACACAACATTCGTCATAGAGATTTTGTGTTGTCTGGTAAGAACGCTGAACTAATAGTTCCATGTGTAGCGCGCGAAGGGGATTGGCTCAACTACTTTGGCGTGCTCAATAAATTCATTGCCATTCACGGGGGCCGCTCTTCTATGGAGGCCACCAACCTGGTCGGATTCGTGAAGAGACTAGTGAGAAAACGCTATATCGACAGCGCCTTTATATACAACTCAATGAACCGGTCGTATGGTAAGTAAAATAACTGATCTAAATATTTCATCTTACAATATGTTTCCCTACCTTTTGAATTTTTCACCATTTTATTATTTCTCACTTGTTTGCACCTATGCTAAAATGCCTCTGCCATCGCAGAGCAATTTCGTTTGATTTATCGAAATGCCCATTTCATGAACAATGTATGGGATTTTGCAGTAAGGCTCGGCTACGTCCGCCTGCTAAGCGACGAGCAACTGGACACAGGGTTCATCGCCCACAAACGTGCTGTGCCTCGGAAAAGGCAACGGGAAGCCAGAACAAAGGCTACTTGGAGGAGGGTTAGACCGCTTAAGATATTGAGTGATACTAATTACAGATTACAAAATATTTCTTCCATACAGATTACTCCACAGAACAAGTGTATGCACCTGCCCACCAAAAATACTGGTAAACCAACATGGCCACTTTCTACCTCATTGGTTTTACAGAAAGTCCAATTTCACCAGTAATTACAATAGATTTTAGAATGTTTTTACATACATGGAATCGCTCAATTGAATTTAATCGATCTATGTCTTTTTTTATAACGCGACCGTGTCTCATTAGGTTATTATAAAAGTAATCTGTAAATCGTGGCATGCAATCTGTATATAAGGCCAACTAATCTGTAAATAGCAATATATATACTATATTTCCCAGCCAATACACCGTATTTTATAACCGTTACTTATATCATTATAATCCTTATGATGAGGCGCATCTAATGGTGTTGGAATTGTATAGAGACGGGGTATTTTCAAAAAGATATTGTTGAGTGACAAGTCTTATATTATGTAAAAAGCCTTGAATAGAAGCCTCGAATTAGGGACCTGACAGCGCCTGTACACTAGTGCCTGGTATGCTGAGCGTTCTACATGGGATTTGGTCAATTGGCTTGGTTAATTGGATTGGAATGGATAACGGATGGGATATTATGGCAATGGTAATTGTTTAGGATACTCGGTTCGGATAGTTTGGAAATAGGGGCGGGAGACCGAAATTGCAAACAACCCAGCACCCTTGGTACCTCACACACGAATTCGATACACACAGATATAGGTATTTATCAGTACCAATTCTCAATAACAGTTAATCAATGTGCAAAATTATATGGTAACGAATCCTTCATAAAACAGGGAAACCTATGAAAAGCGATCGCGGCCTACAGGATTTGGGCCTACGCGGCACAACCGCTGGATCTTCGAAGTATATTTAGAGTTGCGTTCCGTACCTGACCTATAATTGAGCGAGAATTTTCTTGTTGCGGTTTAGTTGTACTAGACAGAATCTTAAAATACCTCTTCCCCAGGTCTCACGGGCGTCCGATGATCCATCAGGTTGGTACTTCGGGAGCTTGGCATTTGAATTAATGACGGTAGCGGTTTAGATATCGGATGAGTTTAGAGGGAAAAAAATGTTAGTTGCCTTAGATGAGGTACCTACGTTAAGGTAAGTATCACTTGCAGAACGAGGCAAATGATGACTTCAGGATTGGCATGTATCCAGCCTTGTAGGATTTGGATGGACAATGATATCTTAGAGTAAGACCAGATTACATATTTGAAGCTATTTCTTATTTATAAAGAAGGGCTGGAAGTTCTCTTTCAATATATGTGGTTTCCTTTCTGCTAGGTCCATAATTAATTGGCCAAAAAGTCCATTTGCCCAAGTAAACCTATATTAGAAGTTAGTTTATTTACTATGAGATCCCAGTTTCAACTCTAACGCTCACCACTGACGTGTCCAATTGCTCGTATCAAAGCTATCGACGCTCTCGTGAATCAAACCATATCCATCGGTAGTGCTTAACACTTCCTTAACTGCCGATATGATTTCCGCGTCATCATCCGAGGTCATTGCTCGTACTGGAGTGGGCGGTTAGTAAGTCGTTTTCAAGGTTTAAGTCAAGGCGTAGGACCAAAAAACCACGAGTAAGGAATTTCTAGCGCTAATTGATGCGTAATGTTTGGTAGGGGGGCCTAAGGAGGATGTGATGTTGCTTAACATTACTTACTGATAGACGACATGGGCCACGCAGCTCCCGGCCTAATATGTGGGCTACCGATAGCGTTAAGATGAGGTCCTTCACACCACCACGGGTTACTTCTGCTGAGAATGAAAGCTCGCGTGTTTTGATAAATAGTGTCGTTCTTGTCCAAGTATCCTAGAAATGGTGCCGAGAGAAGCGACGGGACATTTGCATCATCCATCAAATTCTGACCGCCAAACCCGTCAACCTCGTATGCGAAGATCTTCTTTCCGTTAGGCGCAGTCACAATACCCCATTGATTGATAGCCTCCCTAATCTCGGAAGCCATGTCCCGCATCTTTTGCGCCAACCCTTTTGGCGCATTCGGTAGTCGTTCCATGATATCGGATGTAGATTCTAAATATCTCGACAACATCATATTTGCCGGGATTTGGAAATCGAATATAGCGGAGTCGTCACTCGGGCGGAATGGCGAGCGTACTAAGCCTGTCTCATTAACGGGGCTTCCGATACCGTTATTTCCCAGAGTGCCAGAACCGGTCATGGTCTGCGATTGGAATGTGTACACAGGCGGAATCCATTTCCCATCAGGCCCATAGGTAGGCTGCCTCATTTCTTCTGATGTAGCAAGAATAGATTGCACTGCTTGGATCCATTGGAATTTACCGAAGAAATCCAAGTCGCCTGTCGCATTATAGTAATCATGCGAGAGCTGCAAGAATCCTCCAAAATCATCAAGCTCAAAGTTGCAAGTGAAAACAATATTGCGATCGTACGACGGTGTGACAGAATAGATACCCCCATTTTGCGCTGGGGAGATATCGGACTCGGGTGGAGGCTGAAAAGCATTGCAATAAGGTGATATGATTAGATATCGAGCCTGTAAATTAATAGTACCGCGGAATACAGAGGCGATATCATCGGTCTTCTTGTTCAGGACAGTTTTGTAGGGCGCTATCTGGTTCGCCGAGTCGCGAATCCACATCGCATCAATATCGCCGGTAATTATGAAAGCCAACTCTTCCTCAGAGTTGTTAGCAGCAACTCCTCGCCATTTGATAGCCGTGTCGAGCGTATTCGGAAAGGTGTTTTCGAAAAGACGTGATAGATCCGCATCAAAAATGACACTCTTCGTCTTGTTAATAGCATCCTCGATCAGGCTCGAGTTAAAAGTACGACATTCGGGGCTGGGTCGCTGATACGCGAGCTTGTAGGCACCGGACGAGAGAGGAGGGTTCCGCGACTGAGAATAACTCGAATAACCGGGACAATTCTGACCGAGGACATGTCCAATAACTAGAGACGTCGACAAAAACACGTTGCCCGACCGCATTGTTTACCGCGTAGTATTCTAAGGGGTCGGGGAGAAAAGGAACAGTAAAACCGTGGGACAATCGACGAAGACTCAAGGAGAATAGCGACAAGAGACTTAACACCCTAGAGGAGGGAATCGTGTCCACAGCCTCAATAAGGGTCAAAAGGGATTGTCCCACATCCATGTCTATAAGCCAAGACTTTTGGGTGGTATCCTTGGATCTAGAATGTCGTCCATGGCTACGGCTCTCTCTATCCTTTGCTTGTACGAGAGGTCTCGCGATGCCGATTACTTAATTATAGTATATACTGCTTGAAGAGACTTTTGGGAATACCGTTTAAATAATTCCAAGGTCCGGTCTCTAAAGGCAGAGGTATAGATTAGCTGTCAAATTAATTGTAACTTATTAGAACGGACGATTAAACTAGTGTAACTACGAATAGAGGCTAGAGGATAAAGCCAAGAGATTCATTACTAATGTAACTAACTTGATTTATAGTGTACAGTGCCTATCGATAAGGTACCTAGGTATGTACCGTACATACACTATTATAAACTTTTCACTCGGCATCTCGGGATGACGTAGACAACGTCCTAACGGCCTCTTATCGTGCCCATTTGAGTTATCGGGCTGCATGCCGATCAAAACAATTGTGGAGATCGCCTGGTCGCTGAGAGACTTTTTTAACGCTAATTGCGATCTTATCCGAAGCTCCGGATTTTACTACCGACCGGAATCCTCTACTTCAATAAGCCTCGCGCTTTTTTCTTCCTTTTCCTATTTTTTTCTTCTTCTCTCTTTTTTTCGTTGTCGTCGCGCGCCTCGTTATTCCGTGATGGTCCCAATTTCTTAACTTCGTTACGACTCCGTAAGGATAACAAATAAAAGACGACGAACCCCCCTCCCCGCGCGGCCCATTCCGGACGTTACCATGTTTCTCCTCAGCACTCGCGATGGCTTCCCAAAGGGCGATAACGCGACCGATACCATCTTCCACAACATCCACTTCAACGCCTCCACGCTAAATTACTGGAATTATACCTATTACCCGATAAATGGCACGCTCTCGAATGGATCCTGGTGCATGCTTATGAATCCGCCTTACACTCCGAAAGGTATCCTAACCAATGGCACTTTTATCAATAGTACTTGGTGTTACTTGGCGACAGATCCTATTGGGGACCGAGCGCGCGCTGGTATTGGCTTTGCTGTGGCTTTCGCCTTATGTCTGATTTTTATACTGGTCAATTTGAAAAAGCACGGCGAATTACATCTACCCGCTGAGAAGAGATTCTACCCGATCGGGAGGAGGTGGCAATGGTATTGGTCGATATTCGTTTGCGCAACCGCTCTCGTTGGCCTTTTCACCGGGATCGATGTCGACCGGTACCATGTTGTGGAGCTTCCCATTGTTCTGAATAATTTCTTCTGGTACCTTATGCAGATCGGTATCATAGCTGTAGTCTGGGAGGGTGTTCGGCATTGGGGTAGTTGGATGGAACGTCAATACATTGATCCAAACCCCTTCGTCCTTCAACAAAACGATAAAAGAGGCATGTTTGAGCTATGGTTGCCCATCATCTTTTATCTATGGTTATGGCTGGTAAGTCTCCGGTAATATCTATATCCAAAGAACTATATATTAATTAACCGCCAAGAATTTCTTCCTCATTATTCCGCGAAACTGGGGTGCAATCGAACTCCAGCGATCCCCCGAACAGACTATAGAAAATGCAATACCAGCTGCCACCGATGGGCGCTTCAAAGCAGGGACATTCCTCTTATTTGTTGCTTGGTGCACGATTATGGTCTCTTTATGGCACTCTATCCGGCATTACGAGCCCCGAAATCGTGGTTTCTTCAACCGTATTATCGGCTTTTTAGGATATATGCCATTCCGCTTTACACTAATGATACCCCTTGCGCTAGCTGTCGTTGCTTACCAAGGGTTATGTTCCTGGGACTTTGGCCTGTCGCCTTTAAATGCCAAGACTAACTTATTAGCAATGTACCTTGGAGGTTATGCACCAACTTTTCTCATCCTCGTCATACAAATTATTGCAGGTTTTATGCGACCAAACGAAGACCGTGAACTCCTCCGTCAACGACGCGAGCGAGGACAAGCCCTAGATCAGGAGCTAGGTGTTATTCGAAAGCCTGCTTG